ACGTGGCGAGGGAGGCGTGTTGACTGCATCCACCGCGTCCAGGTACAGCTGTTGCCACTCGCCTTGCTGAAATGCTCAAAGCCGGGCTTTGATTTTTGACCTATCAGGGTGCTACGGCGAACCCTGTCGAAGTGTGAGGCGGGGGAGGAAGAGTAGTAACCGCCAGCCTGCGATTGAGTCTGGGTTCCACGCGAGGTGTAGCAGGGGTGTCAGTCGTACGAGCGAGAAAATCTCGGATAGATTTGGCGGTAGCCGTCGTAACAGCATGGGCTGACGACCATCGCAGAGAGGTGAGATGTCCCAGTTTGCGACCTCCACACATTTTTCTGCCTGCCTCGCCAGCTCTTCTGGAGAGAAATATGGCGGGATTTGAAGCTGGCGAGCCGTATTTGCCTGATCTCTTGCGGTTCGATTTGCACGCACGAGGCTCGGAGCATAGGTGGGGTGTGGGGTTGGGATTGTGGCCGTTCGATCCCCATCTTGTAGCTCTCGTCCATTTCTTGGTTGCACGGCCGCTCCCCTCTGATTTCTCCCCCTTCCTCTTCCCAACTGTTCTCTCTCCTCATCCTCGCCTTCTCCATTGCTGCTGCTGCTTTCCTCGTGTGTCTCCTCCCTATAAGACGGGTCATTTCTTTCATCCCTTTCAGTATCAAGTAGTGTTAAAGCCCGTCGCCCTGCAAACTGGAACGCATTCTCCAGACCGCCCTCTACCCCGCGTCCTTCCTGTCGTCCCGCTCCTCAACCTCTACTCACTCGCGATGGTGATTTCTGGCGAGTCGTGGCCATCGCCATCGCACGCTGCCACTGTGTTAGCAGTGAGCGGAAGGTCCCTTCCTGCATCCGTCTCGGGGATTGCTGCGCTGAAGCTGCCAGTCCCACCTACCCCGAAGCCGGCGCCCCCTACCGCTGGTGTCTCACTGCCTTTGGATCCACTCCCCGTGACGAGCGCGGCTCTACCGTCGCCGCTGCCTGTTCCGCCTGCCCCTATTGTCGACTTGGACCCTCCGCCTCCCGTCGAGGCTCCTGAACGCGCCGCTCCTACTGTTCTATCGTTCGTCCCTATGAACATTGTAGTACCGCCTGCTGTGGCCGGCCCTGCTGTTGCTCCGCCTGTCCCAGGAGTCCCTGCCTCAGCACCCGCCATTGTTGATCCTGTTGCGCCTACCGCGGCTGTTGCTTCGTTGCAATGGCGGAGTCTTCCACCACTGCCGGCCAGGCCCCGGTTGTAGAGCAGGCAGTGGCCGTTCCGATGGCTATCCAGATAGCTCCCGATCCTGCTCCGCCTGTCGCCGCCCCCCCTGCTCAACGTCCGCCGTCTTCGGGCCGCCGACAGCCTCGGCCCCATTCCCCTGCGCCTCGTGACGAGCGCGCGGCGTCGCGGCGGCACCACGATTCCCCTTGGCGCCGTGGTTCTCAGGCAAACTGGCATGCGACTCGTGGCGGACGTGGTGGGTGGTGGGGTGGGCGCGGTCGTGGCGGTGGCTGGGCATATGAACAGCCCGTGACGATGGCGGATCTTCAGCGCGCTGTTTCTACTGCGGTGCGCAAGAAGCGGAACGGGCAGGTGAGCCAGAGCAACTCGCCGCGTGTTGCTCCGCCCCCCGTGCCTCCTCCTCCTGTTGCGCTCCCTGTGCCTGCCGCTCCGCCTCTGCCGGCAGCTGCTCCGCCTCCCCATACTCCCTCTGCATTTGCTGTTGCTCCGGCGGGTCATGTGGAGCCCCTGTAGGTTCCTGCTGCTGGTGACGCGCTATCATTCCAGGCGTGGGCGGGACCTCCTCGAATGGCTGAGGTCCCCGAGGCGTCGCATGGGCAGCTGTGGCGCCTTGCTGAGGGCTTGCGGGCCGTGCACCTGATCCAGGCGTACAGTCATGCTGCTCTTGTTCATGGTGGCTCGCTAGATGGTCGCCAACGGGACGAGTGTCTTAATGCTGCTGACCGGCTCGCGGAGGTGCTAGCGCACGTGCTGGCTCCACCCGCGATGGGCGTAATTGCGGGTGTTGGGCAGCTTGATACAGCTGTCCGTGGGCTGCGGCGGATTTTGCGCGCAGGCTCTGGAGCCGATGTGATCGGCGCAAGCACGGCGGCGGTGCGGGAGCTGCATCGCTCTCTGACTGGGCTCCTGGCAGTTCTTGACGCGGATCGGTTCTAGTGCCTGCCTCCTGCTCCATTGTTGTTTGCGTAGCTTCTAGGCGGTAGTTTTTGCCATTGCTTGTATGCTCCTGAATATACCAACTTGTGCTTGTGGACCCTTGCCGCCCCAAAAAAAATAAAAAGAATAATGAAGAGGAATCACGGCCTCTATGGCCTTTATACTAGGGGTAGGGAGGCTAGGGAGGCGAGGAGAGGCTAGAAACAGCTAAGTCCCTAAATGCCTCTATCTCTCTCTCTCTCTCTCTCTCTCTCTCTCTCTCTCTCTCTCTCTCTCTCTCTCTCTCTCTCTCTCTCTCGCTAAAGCCCAAGGCGGAAGCCAAGCGCCACTGCAAACAGTCTGGGTGAGAAGGTGAAGTCGCCCCTCATGGGGATCGCGTGAAGCCAGTCTCCCGCCCCCACCCCTTTCAGCGCTATGAGCCGGATCACACCCGGCTTGTCCTTCCTCGTGTCACCTACCAGCTCCGCAGCCCTGTCCTGGTTGATATGCCTCGATATGATTAGCTGCAGGTGCCCCTTCCCGTCCCCCTTCTGGTGGTGCGTCTTCAGGACTTCTCGGGCCTGCTCTGGGAGCCGGTTCCAGAGGTCCTGGAGTGTCACCCCTCCTCATGCCGCCTCTCCTACTTCCCTTAGAGCTGAGAGTAGGCCCGCCACGTGCTGCAGAGGGTTGTCATGCTACAGCACTGTTTGTCAGAGTAGTGTGTTTGCCGCATGCAATGAATCGAGGTATGCCACCGGTGCCTCCGAGAGTGGGTCTATTAGCCCCAGCCCCCCAAGGCAAACTGGCAGCGTCGCCTAGCGCCACACAAGGCTCTGCTCTATCTCACTAGCCGGTGCGTACATCTGTGCCACCTTCAGTGCCGTCCAGAGCAGGTCCTCGCTCCAGTCCCGCCATTCCACCAGCGGCAATGTGTCGGACGGGGTCGTTCGGAGCATGTACGAGATGCGTTGTGACACGCATCTTGAGAGCAGTAGGAGTGCATGTTGCGAGTGCAGTTTGCTGATGAGAGAGAGTGGCGCCGCCACCGTGCCCAGTGCTGCTCGTATGAACCTCCGCCCGTACTCCCTTGTCCCCACTGGGCTTCCAAGCACACGAATGCCGTCGATCGCCACCACCAATCCTTCCGGGAGCTCGTCAGAGCAACCCGCCGGGCACCACGCCGAGGATTTATCAAGGTTGCACCTCAGGCTGCACTTCCGTAGGTCCTCCATGATGATGTTCACACCCTTAATCGCTTGTTCCGGAGAGCCGATGATCGTGATGTCATCAGCGTATGCCATCACCACCGTCGAGGGGCACATAGCTGCCGCCTTCAGAAGGGTTGGCTGGATGGCCGCCGCAAAGAGCATAGGCCCCAATAGGTCTCCTTGCCGCACCTCGTGAGCGCTCTCGATGTAGCGTTCTTCGAAGCCCGGATGCAGGAGGAGTCATGCCGGTGCGCCGTACAGGGTGCGAACCAGCGGGAGGAGTGGCTCGAGCGCAGTCCATTTGAGTGACGTGAAGAAGCTCTCCCGCTCCACTGAGTTGAATTCATTCTCGATGTCCAGCTGAATCGGAATCCTCGTTGGGTCATCTGCTAGCAGGGCTCGTGTAGTGTGTATTATAGTCTCTGCTCCTCTTGTCACCACCACACCGAACTGGACTGGGAGGAAGAAGCGGCGAATGTCAGGTGAAAGCTTCCGCAGCGCCGCTTTCACCGCTATCCTAATGATCGCCTCGCCTATCGATATCGGCCTGACTCCCCCTCCCGGCTTCTCAAGGGCTATCACTCTGGATGGTAGCAGTAGGTCTCTTAGAGGCTCGCTTAGGTATGTGCTCAACAACAAATTGACCACCTAGTGCAGAAGTGTGAAGACTTCCCCGTTCACGAGCGCGGGGTCACGTAGGTGTTCAAAGCAGGTTCCAGATGGTCCGGCCCCGATCCCATTCAGGCACTTAGCTAAAACCTCGCGGAACTCATCTATGGCGATTTACAGGGCCGACGAATCATATCCGGTGACCCATCCTGGTGTCGCCTGTCCTGCCATCGGGTGCTTGGCGCGAAGTGTCGCAAGTGTCGTAGGGGATTGCTCGGCGAGAGGGGTTGACTGTAACGCTGACAGCGCTTTCGCCAGGTTCGCCTTTCGTACCAGACCCTCCGCCCTGGCACACATCCCCTCGGGGTCTAGCTAGTGTCTGCTTGGTTGGGGGTTCGGGGGAATGATGCAGGCTTCCAAGAAAAGCAGCTCCCATTCCTCTTCTTGAAATCGCTGGAGTCTCTTCTCAACCACTGCCCAGCGGTTTCCGGGAACTTGCTCGGTTTTGGCTCGTAGGGTCAGCCCTCGGTAGGAAATAAAGGATTCTCCACGCCCCAGTGCAATTCGGAACTTTCGCGAGTCGTTGCAGGGGGGTCGTCATGTAGTAAGCGTAGACTCCCAAGATCTTGGGGGGAAGCTTCCGGAACAAGAAGGGTTGTGCGCTGCAGCACAATGGTCGTGGTTTCCATCCTTCCACCTGACTCCAGACAACCAAGTTAGCCGCGATGTCTGCTGGCGATCTTGCCTTGCTGGCGGCCTCGTTGGTCTGGGTGCCACGTGACTCACCCTAGTTGGCGTTAGTCTCGTTTCCCTCCCTCCTTGCCCTTCGATTCTCCTCATCAGTCGGGATACCCCGTTCGTCGTCAAGTGACACATCCTCTGAGTCCCCATACTCTTCCTCCATATATTCTTCATCCCCATCGTCCTCGCCTTCATCCATTGGTTCTTCTCCCTGCTGTCTCTCTGGCCTCCAGTGCCTTTCCCAACAGGTACCAGATCTGGCTTTTTCCCTTGCTATGGCCACCGCTATACCCCCTCGACCTCACCTTCCACGCATGCCTTATCTGCCGCGTCCCCTCGACGCAGCCGGCTCTCCTCCCCGTGCCCTCGCAGGCGGGTTTCCCGCTGCTGCCTCAGCCGCGCGTTCTCGTAGCAGCCGCTGCCGCATCGTTCCCCCTCGACGCCGGTCAATCGCGGTCACTTGGATCTCCTCCTCCGCTGCCGTGGCATCTTCCGCCTCAGCCTCTCCCTGTTCGGTCGTTTCGCGGGGTCCTCCTGCGTCGTCCCTCGCTCCCGATGACGGGCTGTCGCCGGCCGCCTCAGCGTGATGTGATTGTGGCGGCGAGGTCTCCTGCTGCGCCCACCCCACTAGGGGCCCCGAGGGGGCAGGTACCAGCCTTGTTCTGAGCCGCCACAGACTGCCTATCTGCGGGTGTTGGCGCCTCCCCCTCTGCGTCGCCAACGCGGCCGAGGGAGCCAGTGTATCTCTCCTTACGCGATCTCACCCATCCTATTCTCCGTGCCCGTGACCAGTCCTTTCGTCGTCGCCGTCCTCCTCGCCCGCCTCCCTCTGGCCAGGCTCGTCCTCGACCGCAGCTTCACGCTCTCGCCGCACAGTCCCAGCTGCTGCAGCTCCCTCCGGCCCAGTCCGAGACCACGCGTCACTCCGATCTGCTTTGGTGGCTTCGGCGCAGTTCGCGCTGCTGATCCTTCCCTCGTGGCCGCCGCCGTCAGCGCCTGAGTTGGCGCCGCCTCCGCGGGCGCGGCCCTTTGTCCCCGCACACCAGCAGTCTCAGCCGACCCCTGCACCTCCCGTTGTTGTTCAGATTCCCAACCCGCCATCTGCAACTGGGCCTGGCTCGTCATCGCCGCCGCCACAACCGCTCCTCCACCTCATGCGCCGCCCTCATTGGTGCCAAATCTGGTTGCTCTGTTCGCATATTCATACCCACCTCGGTTGGATGTGAATGCGTCGGCGCCGCCTGCTGATCGCAGACTCCCTCCTCTTATTCCCCCTCCTTATGTGCCTCGTTGCCACCATCCCCTTGTGCCTGGTTCTCGTCTCCCAGTGGCCCGGTTTGGATTTGTGAGTCTCTCCCATTGTCGTTTCCTCTTTGCTTGTCACGGGATGTTTTCCCCTGCCCGTCGCCCATCTGCCGTGTTTTGTCGTTTCCCTGCCTCCCTTTCTTCTGCAACCCCCCTTGTCCTGCAGCACCAGCCAGTGCCCGGCCTCTCCCACGGCTACTAGAACGAAGACGAGGTGTTTGGCACTCCTCGTGACCCTGATGTGGATTGGTGGGGGGTGTTGTGGCCCCACGTGCCGCGCGAGGGGAACTGGGGCACTCCTCCCCCGAGCCCTCCTTGGGGGGAGCCCCGGCCTGGGGATGGGGCTTACCAGTCCCGCGTGATGCGGTTGTCGGAGGTTGGCCGGTGCGTGACGGAGTTATCTTTCGTGCTTGACCTCTTGCATTATGCCCTTCAGTCGCAGGAGGTTGTGGCCCGGGATCCGCAGCTGAGCGAGGACCAGCAGAGGCGGGTGCGCCGTGCAGTGTCGAACGCGCTATGGGATGTTCTTCATCTGCCACTTGAGCCGGAGGACCCTTTGCTGGACGACGGTCCAGGCTCTGCAGCTTTCCGCATGGTAGCCACGGCTGCTGAGGAGTCACCACCTGGGATCGTCCCTGCCTTCGCGTGTGTGCTCCGGTGGCTCGGGCGGCGGGTGGAGCGGATGTAGACGTTGCCTTCGCCTCCTCCTTGGTCCCGGGCTTCTTCTTCCCCATTGCGGGGGATTTACCTTAGTCTAGCCCTTTCGGTGTTATATTTGCATGCTTGTACTGCTCCCAGTGTAACTGCTTCTTTCCCCTCTTGTACTGCTCCCCGTGTAACTGATTACATATTTTTTTACTAGGGAAATAACTGACTTGACAGTGTCTCATCCGCTTGGTTTATGTCCCCTTTTTGGCTGGCATAGATATATTCCAACAAATCTCCCATCTGAAGGCTTTATTTTTCATTTACGGTACCCTAAACCATTTCTTACAAGTTTCTCAATCGGTCTTACATATATTGAAAACTATTTCGTAACAGCTTTGTCAATATCCTGAAATTTCTCGAGGCATCTCAGCTTTTGGCAAATAGTGGCATAATTTCCTTTCTGAGCCAGCCTTGTTTCTTGAACTCGAAAGTTGGGTTGGGTTGTACTTCTGTTACGAGTGCAATTGAGTGAGCGAGCGAGAATTGCACTATCGAAGCAAAAGTACAACAAGCGAAGGCATGAGCGAAGAACATATAGCGAAACTACAGTGGTAACGGAAATGTGTGGAAAATGGGGTGGGCGACGGGCCTAGCGCCGAGGTCGGGAAATGTCGAGGCGGAGGTCCGGAGCGCGGGTTACCAACCGAACCGTGAGGTTGGGTCGCGTCGTGAAAAGTGGCGGTAACAATGTCGAGGCGAGTGTCGCGGGTGGTAACGGCTTATGGTTGGATGCTGTTGGTGGGAACAGTGTTGTACGTGAAAAGCAGGGACGCGAAGTAAGGAAAAGGATTTTTCCTTACAAATTCCCGCTTCTACCCTTCGCCACACCTGTTTTACGAAATTTTCTGTCGGCACCCTTCGCAAACCTAAGTTCAACTTTAGTATGAAAGTTAGCCATTCTAGACTCGGGCCTTAAGTAATGTTCAAGGCACAATGTGCAAACTCCACATAACGAATCACATGAACGAGAGCATCCCGCCGTGACAAGGACAATTGGGCAGCCCAGCGTCATGCAGCGAAGCGAGTCGTCCAACCAGTCGGGCTCCCTTTCGCGCCAACACTTTGGCAGCTTTGCGGAGTGGAGCGCATCACCACGCCTCGCTTCTCCCACAGCCCAACCTTTCCCCCGCTTCCCCGCGCAGCCTCATCACATTCCGCGGCTCACCCAAGCCTTTCGCAAGAGTTTGCTGACGTGGTACAAGTTACGTGTTCCCGATAACCCCCAACCAAGGCGACTGACTCCCATTTGACCGTTCCACTCGTGGCAAAGGATAAGCAATTTTGGTTTCATCACAGTCGGCCAGATATCTCCTGCTTGCCCGTTACTGATGAACCCGCTCTCACTCACTCGCGTGTTCTTCGCATTCCCTACGCTTTGCTTCGTCGTGAGCTAATCGGTTTTGCCGCTGCCTCTAGTACCGGCCGTAAGTCGGACGTCGAACGGACAGAAGCGCGTCAGTGCCTTGTGGGGCGGAGCAGAACGAGTTCCTTGTTGACGTGAGGTTCGCCTCGCCTTCCATCATCGTGAGGTTCGCCTCGCCTTCCATCATCGTGAGGTTCGCCTCGCCTTCCATCATCGTGAGGTTCGCCTCGCCTTCCATCATCGTGAGGTTCGCCTTCGCCTTCCATCGTCATGAATCATGGCGGACGCGACCGCCCGAGGAGGTGAGGCATCGCTTCCTTTCTTTCCTCGAGAGACACACTCCCCTAGCACACGCAGCATGCACGCGCAGCAACACGCCGCGTACTATCATGCGTCGCCAGCGATTTAGTCGAATCGCTGTGCAACGGTTCCCCACCCCGCTGTCAACCTCCGCGTCTCGTCGTGCGCTATGCGGGATGCGACCTCGCCGTCTAGAGAATGAACTGGTTGGACAGTTAGAATGAACTGGTTGGACGGTTAGAATGAACTGGTTGGACGGTTAGAATGAACTGGTTGGACGGTTAGAATGAACTGGTTGGACGGTTAGAGTGAACTGGTTGGACGGTTAGAGTGACGGTTGGAATTGTCGACATTGTCAACCGCCGCCGCATGGGTCAAGTCACATTCGGTACAACATTAAGAGCACATTCGGGTACATATTCTATGTTACCATGCACTCTCAGCTCACCGTCACTCCAGTCCGAGCCACGCGCGCATATACTTTCTGCGAAATTTCTCCGCCCACCGTGTCGCTATCGTAGCCCGATTCCACAGCTACAACGCCTCTTCGATTGCGGCTGCCTCGGCGCCTGCACGTCGGATGGCCGTCCAGCTGCACGTCGGATGGCCGTCCAGCTGCCTGCCAGCTGTCAGCGTGTCAACGTGGCTCAGCGCCTGTCGTGTCAACGTGGCTCAACGCCTGTAATGTCAATGTGGCTCTTTCGATGCCTCCGAGAAAGAGCGTCCCTAGGCGTCATCACTCGCGGCGTCATCACTCGCGGCGTCATCACTCGCGGCGTCACCACTCGCGGCGTCATCACTCGCGGCGTCACTACTCGCGGCGCCATCACCTTTGCTTCTCCGCCGCGTGCCCTTCGCAGGTCCCCGCGCCAGCAGCCTGGGGAGAGGCAGCCCGAGGGAAGGCAGCCCGAGGGGAGGCAGCTCGAGGGGAGGCAGCTCGAGGGGAGGCAGCTCGAGGGGAGGCAGGCCGGGGGGAGGCAGGCCGGGGGGAGGCAGGCCGGGGGGGGGCGGGCTGCAGGGGGTAGCGGAGGAGCGGTGCAAGCGGGCGACGGCGGTGAGCGGGCGAGGGAGGAGCGCGAGGTGCTGCTGCTGGTGACGAGCGCCGAGACCAACATCCAGCTCGTCCTCGCCGACATCTCCTCGCGCTCCCACCTCGCTGCCGGTGAGCGCACGTGCTGCTGCTGGTGAGAGCAGGTGCTGCTGCTGGTGAGAGCAGGTGCTTATGGTGAGAGCAGGTGCTTGTGGTGAGAGCAGGTGCTTGTGGTGAGAGCAAGTGCTTGTGGTGAGAGCAGGTGCTTGTGGTGAGAGCAGGTGCTTGTGGTGAGAGCAGATGCTTGTGGTGAGAGCAGGTGCTTGTGGTGAGAGCAGGTGCTTGTGGTGAGAGCAGGTGCTTGTGGTGAGAGCAGGTGCCTGTGGTGAGAGCAAGTGCTTGTGGTGAGAGCAGGTGCTTGTGGTGAGAGCAGGTGCTTGTGGTGAGAGCAGGTGCTTGTGGTGAGAGCAGGTGCTTGTGGTGAGAGCAGGTGCTTGTGGTGAGAGCAAGTGCTTGTGGTGAGAGCAAGTGCTTGTGGTGAGAGCTGGTGCTTGTGGTGAGAGCAGGTGCTTGTGGTGAGAGCAGGTGCTTGTGGTGAGAGCAGGTGCTTGTGGTGAGAGCAGGTGCTTGTGGTGAGAGCAGGTGCTTGTGGTGAGAGCAAGTGCTTGTGGTGAGAGCTGGTGCTTGTGGTGAGAGCAGGTGCTTGTGGTGAGAGCAGGTGCTTGTGGTGAGAGCAGGTGCTTGTGGTGAGAGCAGGTGCTTGTGGTGAGAGCTGGTGCTTGTGGTGAGAGCAAGTGCTTGTGGTGAGAGCTGGTGCTTGTGGTGAGAGCAGGTGCTGCTGCTGGTGAGAGCAGGTGCTGGTGATGAGAGCAGGTGCTTGTGGTGAGAGCAAGTGCTTGTGGTGAGAGCTGGTGCTTGTGGTGAGGGCAGGTGCTTGTGGTGAGAGCAAGTGTTTGTGGTGAGAGCAGGTGCTTGTGGTGAGAGCAGGTGCTTGTGGTGAGAGCAGGTGCTTGTGGTGAGAGCAGGTGCTTGTGGTGAGAGCAGGTGCTTGTGGTGAGAGCAGGTGCTGCTGCTGGTGAGAGCAGGTGCTGGTGATGAGAGCAGGTGCTTGTGGTGAGAGCAAGTGCTTCTGGTGAGAGCAGGTGCTTGTGGTGAGAGCAGGTGCTTGTGGTGAGAGAAGGTGCTACTGCTGGTGAGAGCAGGTGCTGGTGATGAGAGCAGGTGCTTGTGGTGAGAGCAAGTGCTTGTGGTGAGAGCAGGTGCTTGTGGTGAGAGCAGGTGCTTGTTGTGAGAGCAGGTGCTTGTGGTGAGAGCAGGTGCTTGTGGTGAGAGCAGGTGCTTGTGGTGAGAGCAGGTGCTTGTGGTGAGAGCAGGTGCTTGTGGTGAGAGCAGGTGCTTGTGGTGAGAGCAGGTGCTACTGCTGGTGAGAGCAGGTGCTGGTGATGAGAGCAGGTGCTTGTGGTGAGAGCAAGTGCTTGTGGTGAGAGCAGGTGCTTGTGGTGAGAGCAGGTGCTTGTGGTGAGAGCAGGTGCTTGTGGTGAGAGCAGGTGCTTGTGGTGAGAGCAGGTGCTTGTGGTGAGAGCAGGTGCTTGTGGTGAGAGCAGGTGCTTGTGGTGAGAGCAGGTGCTTGTGGTGAGAGCAGGTGCTTGTGGTGAGAGCAGGTGCTTGTGGTGAGAGCAGGTGCTACTGCTGGTGAGAGCAGGTGCTGGTGATGAGAGCAGGTGCTTGTGGTGAGAGCAAGTGCTTGTGGTGAGAGCAGGTGCTTGTGGTGAGAGCAGGTGCTTGTGGTGGGAGCAGGTGCTTGTGGTGAGAGCAGGTGCTTGTGGTGAGAGCAGGTGCTTGTGGTGAGAGCAGGTGCTTGTGGTGAGAGCAGGTGCTGCTGCTGATGAGAGCAGGTGCTGGTGATGAGAGCAGGTGCTTGTGGTGAGAGCAAGTGCTTGTGGTGAGAGCAGGTGCTTGTGGTGAGAGCAGGTGCTTGTGGTGAGAGCAGGTGCTTGTGGTGAGAGCAGGTGCTTGTGGTGAGAGCAGGTGCTTGTGGTGACAGCAGGTGCTTGTGGTGAGAGCAGGTGCTTGTGGTGAGAGCAGGTGCTTGAGGTGAGAGCAGGAGCTTGTGGTGAGAGCAGGTGCCTGTGGTGAGAGCAGGTGCTTGTGATGAGAGCAGGTGCTTGTGGTGAGAGCAAGTGCTTGTGGTGAGAGCAGGTGCTTGTGGTGAGAGCAGGTGCTTGTGGTGAGAGCAGGTGCTCGTGGTGAGAGCAGGTGCTTGTGGTGAGAGCAGGTGCTTGTGGTGAGAGCAGGTGCTTGTGGTGAGAGCAGGTGCTTGTGGTGAGAGCAGGTGCTTGTGGTGAGAGCAGGTGCTTGTGGTGAGAGCAGGTGCCTGTGGTGAGAGCAGGTGCTTGTGGTGAGAGCAGGTGCTTGTGGTGAGAGCAGGTGCTTGTGGTGAGAGCAAGTGCTTGTGGTGAGAGCAAGTGCTTGTGGTGAGAGCTGGTGCTTGTGGTGAGAGCAGGTGCTTGTGGTGAGAGCAGGTGCTTGTGGTGAGAGCAGGTGCTTGTGGTGAGAGCAGGTGCTTGTGGTGAGAGCAGGTGCTTGTGGTGAGAGCAAGTGCTTGTGGTGAGAGCAGGTGCTTGTGGTGAGAGCAGGTGCTTGTGGTGAGAGCAGGTGCTTGTGGTGAGAGCAGGTGCTTGTGGTGAGAGCAGGTGCTTGTGGTGAGAGCAAGTGCTTGTGGTGAGAGCAAGTGCTTGTGGTGAGAGCAGGTGCTTGTGGTGAGAGCAGGTGCTGCTGCTGGTGAGAGCAGGTGCTGGTGATGAGAGCAGGTGCTTGTGGTGAGAGCAAGTGCTTGTGGTGAGAGCAGGTGCTTGTGGTGAGGGCAGGTGCTTGTGGTGAGAGCAAGTGTTTGTGGTGAGAGCAGGTGCTTGTGGTGAGAGCAGGTGCTTGTGGTGAGAGCAGGTGCTTGTGGTGAGAGCAGGTGCTTGTGGTGAGAGCAGGTGCTTGTGGTGAGAGCAGGTGCTGCTGCTGGTGAGAGCAGGTGCTGGTGATGAGAGCAGGTGCTTGTGGTGAGAGCAAGTGCTTCTGGTGAGAGCAGGTGCTTGTGGTGAGAGCAGGTGCTTGTGGTGAGAGAAGGTGCTACTGCTGGTGAGAGCAGGTGCTGGTGATGAGAGCAGGTGCTTGTGGTGAGAGCAAGTGCTTGTGGTGAGAGCAGGTGCTTGTGGTGAGAGCAGGTGCTTGTTGTGAGAGCAGGTGCTTGTGGTGAGAGCAGGTGCTTGTGGTGAGAGCAGGTGCTTGTGGTGAGAGCAGGTGCTTGTGGTGAGAGCAAGTGCTTCTGGTGAGAGCAGGTGCTTGTGGTGAGAGCAGGTGCTTGTGGTGAGAGCAGGTGCTACTGCTGGTGAGAGCAGGTGCTGGTGATGAGAGCAGGTGCTTGTGGTGAGAGCTGGTGCTTGTGGTGAGAGCAGGTGCTTGTGGTGAGAGCAGGTGCTTGTGGTGAGAGCAGGTGCTTGTGGTGAGAGCAGGTGCTTGTGGTGAGAGCAGGTGCTTGTGGTGAGAGCAGGTGCTTGTGGTGAGAGCCGGTGCTTGTGGTGAGAGCAGGTGCTGCTGCTGATGAGAGCAGGTGCTGGTGATGAGAGCAGGTGCTTGTGGTGAGAGCAAGTGCTTGTGGTGAGAGCAGGTGCTTGTGGTGAGAGCAGGTGCTTGTTGTGAGAGCAGGTGCTTGTGGTGAGAGCAGGTGCTTGTGGTGAGAGCAGGTGCTTGTGGTGAGAGCAGGTGCTTGTGGTGAGAGCAAGTGCTTCTGGTGAGAGCAGGTGCTTGTGGTGAGAGCAGGTGCTTGTGGTGAGAGCAGGTGCTACTGCTGGTGAGAGCAGGTGCTGGTGATGAGAGCAGGTGCTTGTGGTGAGAGCAAGTGCTTGTGGTGAGAGCAGGTGCTTGTGGTGAGAGCAGGTGCTTGTTGTGAGAGCAGGTGCTTGTGGTGAGAGCAGGTGCTTGTGGTGAGAGCAGGTGCTTGTGGTGAGAGCAGGTGCTTGTGGTGAGAGCAAGTGCTTCTGGTGAGAGCAGGTGCTTGTGGTGAGAGCAGGTGCTTGTGGTGAGAGCAGGTGCTACTGCTGGTGAGAGCAGGTGCTGGTGATGAGAGCAGGTGCTTGTGGTGAGAGCTGGTGCTTGTGGTGAGAGCAGGTGCTTGTGGTGAGAGCAGGTGCTTGTGGTGAGAGCAGGTGCTTGTGGTGAGAGCAGGTGCTTGTGGTGAGAGCAGGTGCTTGTGGTGAGAGCAGGTGCTTGTGGTGAGAGCAGGTGCTGCTGCTGATGAGAGCAGGTGCTGGTGATGAGAGCAGGTGCTTGTGGTGAGAGCAAGTGCTTGTGGTGAGAGCAGGTGCTTGTGGTGAGAGCAGGTGCTTGTGGTGAGAGCAGGTGCTTGTGGTGAGAGCAGGTGCTTGTGGTGAGAGCAGGTGCTTGTGGTGAGAGCAGGTGCTTGTGGTGAGAGCAGGTGCTTGTGGTGAGAGCAGGTGCTTGAGGTGAGAGCAGGTGCTTGTGGTGAGAGCAGGTGCCTGTGGTGAGAGCAGGTGCTTGTGATGAGAGCAGGTGCTTGTGGTGAGAGCAAGTGCTTGTGGTGAGAGCAGGTGCTTGTGGTGAGAGCAGGTGCTTGTGGTGAGAGCAGGTGCTCGTGGTGAGAGCAGGTGCTTGTGGTGAGAGCAGGTGCTTGTGGTGAGAGCAGGTGCTTGTGGTGAGAGCAGGTGCTTGTGGTGAGAGCAGGTGCTTGTGGTGAGAGCAGGTGCTTGTGGTGAGAGCAGGTGCTTGTGGTGAGAGCAGGTGCTTGTGGTGAGAGCAGGTGCTGCTGCTGATGAGAGCAGGTGCTGGTGATGAGAGCAGGTGCTTGTGGTGAGAGCAAGTGCTTGTGGTGAGAGCAGGTGCTTGTGGTGAGAGCAGGTGCTTGTGGTGAGAGCAGGTGCTTGTGGTGAGAGCAGGTGCTTGTGGTGAGAGCAGGTGCTTGTGGTGAGAGCAGGTGCTTGTGGTGAGAGCAGGTGCTTGTGGTGAGAGCAGGTGCTTGAGGTGAGAGCAGGTGCTTGTGGTGAGAGCAGGTGCCTGTGGTGAGAGCAGGTGCTTGTGATGAGAGCAGGTGCTTGTGGTGAGAGCAAGTGCTTGTGGTGAGAGCAGGTGCTTGTGGTGAGAGCAGGTGCTTGTGGTGAGAGCAGGTGCTCGTGGTGAGAGCAGGTGCTTGTGGTGAGAGCAGGTGCTTGTGGTGAGAGCAGGTGCTTGTGGTGAGAGCAGGTGCTTGTGGTGAGAGCAGGTGCTTGTGGTGAGAGCAGGTGCTTGTGGTGAGAGCAGGTGCTTGTGGTGAGAGCAGGTGCTTGTGGTGAGAGCAGGTGCCTGTGGTGAGAGCAGGTGCTTGTGGTGAGAGCAGGTGCTTGTGGTGAGAGCAGGTGCTACTGCTGGTGAGAGCAGGTGCTGGTGATGAGAGCAGGTGCTTGTGGTGAGAGCTGGTGCTTGTGGTGAGAGCAGGTGCTTGTGGTGAGAGCAGGTGCTTGTGGTGAGAGCAGGTGCTTATGGTGAGAACAGGTGCTTGTGGTGAGCGCAGGTGCTTGTGGTGAGAGCAGGTGCTTGTGGTGAGAGCAAGTGCTTGTGGTGAGAGCAGGTGCTTGTGGTGAGAGCAGGTGCTTGTGGTGAGAGCAGGTGCTTGTGGTGAGAGCAAGTGCTGGTGGTGAGAGCAGGTGCTTGTGGTGAGAGCAGGTGCTTGTGGTGAGAGCAGGTGCTTGTGGTGCTGGTGCTTGTGGTGAGAGCAGGTGCTTGTGGTGAGAGCAGGTGCTTGTGGTGAGAGCAGGTGCTTGTGGTGAGAGCAGGTGCTTGTGGTGAGAGCAGGTGCTTGTGGTGAGAGCTGGTGCTTGTGGTGAGAGCAGGTGCTTGTGGTGAGAGCAGGTGCTTGTGGTGAGAGCAGGTGCTTGTGGTGAGAGCAAGGGCTTGTGGTGAGAGCAGGTGCTCGTGGTGAGAGCAGGTGCTTGTGGTGAGAGCAGGTGCTTGTGGTGAGAGCAAGTGCTTGTGGTGAGATCTGCTTGTGGTGAGAGCAGGTGCTTGTGGTGAGCGCAGGTGCTTGTGGTGAGAGCAGGTGCTTGTGGTGAGAGCAGGTGCTTGTGGTGAGAGCAGGTGCTGCTGCTGGTGAGAGCAGGTGCTGCTGCTGGTGAGAGCAGGCGCTTGTGGTGAGAGCATGGCGAGAGCAGGTGCTTGTGATGAGAACATGGTGAGAGCAGGTGCTTGTGGTGAGAGCAGGTGCTTGTGGTGAGAGCAGGTGCTTGTGGTGAGAGCAGGTGCTTGTGGTGAGAGCAGCTGCTTGTGGTGAGAGCAGGTGCTTGTGGTGAGAGCTGGTGCTTGTGGTGAGAGCAGGTGCTTGGGTGAGAGCAGGTGCTTGTGGTGAGAGCAGGTGCTTGAGGTGAGAGCAGGTGCTTGTGGTGAGAGCAGGTGCCTGTGGTGAGAGCAGGTGCTTGTGATGAGAGCAGGTGCTTGTGGTGAGAGCAAGTGCTTGTGGTGAGAGCAGGTGCTTGTGGTGAGAGCAGGTGCTTGTGGTGAGAGCAGGTGCTCGTGGTGAGAGCAGGTGCTTGTGGTGAGAGCAGGTGCTTGTGGTGAGAGCAGGTGCTTGTGGTGAGAGCAGGTGCTTGTGGTGAGAGCAGGTGCTTGTGGTGAGAGCAGGTGCTTGTGGTGAGAGCAGGTGCCTGTGGTGAGAGCAGGTGCCTGTGGTGAGAGCAGGTGCTTGTGGTGAGAGCAGGTGCTTGTGGTGAGAGCATGTGCTTGTGGTGAGAGCAGGTGCTCGTGGTGAGAGCAGGTGCTTGTGGTGAGAGCAGGTGCTTGTGGTGAGAGCAGGTGCTTGTGGTGAGAGCAGGTGCTTGTGGTGAGAGCAGGTGCTTGTGGTGAGAGCAGGTGCTTGTGGTGAGAGCAGGTGCCTGTGGTGAGAGCAGGTGCCTGTGGTGAGAGCAGGTGCTTGTGGTGAGAGCAGGTGCTTGTGGTGAGAGCAGGTGCTTGTGGTGAGAGCAGGTGCTTGTGGTGAGAGCAAGTGCTTGTGGTGAGAGCAGGTGCTTGTGGTGAGAGCAGGTGCTTGTGGTGAGAGCAGGTGCTTGTGGTGAGAGCAGATGCTTGTGGTGAGAGCAGGTGCTTGTGGTGAGAGCAGGTGCTTGTGGTGAGAGCAGGTGCTTGTGGTGAGAGCAGGTGCTTGTGGTGAGAGCATGGCGAGAGCAGGTGCTTGTGATGAGAGCATGGTGTGAGCAGGTGCTTGTGGTGAGAACATGGTGAGAGCAGGTGCTTGTGGTGAGAGCAGGTGCTTGTGGTGAGAGCAGTTGCTTGTTGTGAGACAAGGTGTTGGCGGTGAGAGAAGGCATTTTTTATTATCTCCGATTGTTCATTGACTTTTTTTTTCTTTCTTTTTTGACATTTGTCTCTGCATACTGTACCCGGCCATCAGAGGGAGTGCCGGTTACCATGAGTAGCTCTTTGTTGCGAATGCTCACCGCACATCGTGCTAGTGTTGATGCCGCACTTGCTGCTGCCACAGCTGCTGCTTCCACATCTTCTGCTGCCACAACTGCTGCTGCCACAGCTTCTGCTGCCACAACTGCTGTTGCCACAGCTGCTGCTGCCACAACTGCTGCTGCCACACTTGCGACTTCCACTCCTGCAGTTGCCACTCCTGCGGTTGCCACACTTGCTGCTTCCACGCTTGCAAGTGCCACACCTGTTGCCACACACGCTGCTGCCACCCGCACTGCTGCCTCCCCAACTACTGCCACACCTGTTGCCACACGCACTGCTGCCACTCGCACTGATGCCTCCCTCGCTACTGCCACACCTGTTGCCACACACGCTGCTGCCACCCGCACTGCTGCCTCCACCGCAACTGCCACACCTGTTGCCACACGCGCTGCTACCACCCGCACTGCTGCCTCCCCCGCAACTGCCACACCTGTTGCCACACGCGCTGCTGCCACCCGCACTGCTGCCTCCCCCACTACTCCCACACCTGTTGCCACACGCGCTGCTGCCACCCGCACTGCTGCCTCCCCCGCTACTGCCACACCTGTTGCCACACGCGCTGCTGCCACCCGCACTGCTGCCTCCCCCGCCACTGCCACACCTGTTGCCACACGCGCTGCTGCCACCCACACTGCTACCTCCGCCGCTACTGCCACGCATGTTACCACACGCGCTGCTGCCACCCGCACTGCTGCCACTTGCACTGCTGTTGCCTCCCCTGCCACTGCCATACCTACTACCGTTGCTCCTCGCAAGGTGGGTTCCTCAGGTGAGACGACGACGAGTGCTAGTCTCAAGGGACGCTTGTCTGGTAGTGGGAATAAGGTGGATAAGGGGGAGGGGGGGGCAGATGAGGAGAAGGGGAAGGTGGTGGACAACGCAAAAGGGAAGGTCGTAGATAACGTGAAAGTGAAAGAGGCAGACAAGAGGAAGAACACGGTGGACATATTGAAATGGAAGGCAAAGGTGGATGATGGTCAGGAGGGGACAAGTGGAGGTCATGTGGGTGATGAAGAGGGAGGTTTGGGTAATAAGGAGAAGAGATGTGCAAGCAAGCAGAAGCGGCCCTTGAGCGCAACCCAAAGCGAGATGACTCGCTGGTCCCGCGCACGCATGGTTCAGGTCTCCCGCGAAAACCCCAACTTATCGCCTCTTCAGGCGTACAACGCCGCCCAACGGCTCTGGAGGATACACCGGTTGAACAGCGAGGCACGGGCGAGGCATGAGGAAAAGGGCGGGGAGGAGGGCGAGAAGGAGGGCGAGGAAGAGAGTGAGGAGAGCGGTGAGGAGGACGAGAAGAAGGAGAGCGAGGAGGGCGAGGAGGAGGGCGAGGAAGAGGGCGAGGAGGAGGGCGGGGAAGAGGGCGAGGAGGAGGGCAGGGAAGAGGGCGAGGAGGAGGGCGGGGAAGAGGGCGATGAGGAGGGCGAGAAAGAGGGCGAGGAGAATGTAGAAAGGCGTGACGACGAACAAGGTGCATCAAGTGACGACGATGTTCAGGAGGTGCAGCTGGTGCGAGTAGCGCGTGATGGAGATGTGAGGGCGCGAGGAAATGTGGAGAAGGGAGTTGGTAGTGCAAGCAGCAGTGGCGCGAATGGTAGACGCAGAAAAAGGAAGGCAGTGGAGACTCGCATGAGTGAGGCACAAGTGGATGCGAGTCAGACGGAAACGTTATTTCATGCGTCTCAGATCATTGGCACGCAGTTGCCGCCATTTTCCACTGTTGGTGACACAGTTGTTCCTGAAGTCTCGAGGGTGAATGAGGCAAGCGGAAGTGGTGGGCGAACCAGGTCATCGCGACTCAAACAAAATAAGCGTGCACAGTAAGAGGTAACTGTGGTGTGCCCTCTTCAGCCCCTCTCCCTTCAACTCTAAACCCTAAACCCTAAACCTACTTCACCTCTCTCATTGCTTCCCCTTCACTCCCCTCCACTTGTATTTCCCGCTTTGCCCCCCTTTCCTTTTCCGTCACCTTCCCTCCCCCCCCTTTTTGCCTCTCTTAACGTATCGTCCTTTCGCCACGTATCGGTTCTCCTTCCCCACCTCTGTTTTTCCCCGTCAATGAGCAGATTACAACGACTACTGCAATGGCTGGAGCACAGCAATGGAAGTGAGAGTAGTGCCGAACAGGGGTCATGCTAACTGATTAAATTTCAGACTTGCATGGTTGTAATACTTTTAGAGTTTGCTTGCACATTCGCCAGCAGGTCTTCAAATTGAACTTAGGGAACATTCCTGTGCAGACACTTTTGTCTAAATTTCCCTTCTCTCGAGTCGCGCCTGCAAATTTACCAAATGTCGCGTCACAAACAGCAAATGTATTGCGGCGTAGAGTGACAGATGGGCAGGTACAATTGGACATTTTTTTATTGGTTACGACCAACCGGATCAGGCCCACGTGTTGTCCCTCTGGGGAGGGTGGTAAAACAATGTGCATAAAGCGAGTACCCGTTTTGCGGGCCACAGTAACGAAGCTTGCAAAATATGTACAAGAGTCCGTAAGGACACGTCACACATTTGTGCACAAAAGGCATACGTCACCAACTTTTTTACAACACACATCACAAGTCGTCATTGCTACAGCCTTGTGCTGTGCCATTGCTCATGCAACTGCTCTTCGTGTGGATCACATTCTACTACACTATCTTCATGGACATCGTCGCTAGGTCGGTCGGCGGCTTGATGGAAGCCAACATCTTCGCCGACGAAGATATGTCGACGTCCACCTCCTACGGCTCCAACATATCGGCCAATAGGAAGACAAGGGCATGTCTCCGCAGGTGGAGGTACCAATTGTTGCTAGAGGACATGCAAGGCATAGTAGACAGAGAGTTCAGGGACCCATTTGGATAACCCAAGCAATTCTCGAGTACATTGTCACAGGCTTGGAATCAGGGCCTATGTTTGGTTTTTGGCTACTCACGATTAGCAGTGTAGCATTTTTGAAAACCCTTATGATCAGTGTGTAATTTTTCGTTACACTGATACATAAGTGTAACATTGATTTTCAAAAAAAATACCCCAGAGCATCAGTGTAGAATTTTTGTGTACACTTATCGCAAATTTAGATTACTAATCGTTATAAAAATCGGGAAACAATATTCTACTTATACAGCAGACAATCACATGAATGAACGCTCATCCTCGCTACCATCAGACGACTCCTCTCTTTCCTTTCCTTTTCCATAGCACGACTTGTGAGGGGCAGGTGTTTTTGCGGGTCTTCTTTTTTTTTTGCTTCCGCCAGATATCCACCACCTCGGGCCATTTGTACTCATAGCTCAACATGTTCAGCGTCATCAGTTCGGATAGCCGGGCGTCACCAAGCGACGTTCGCAACCAGCTTTTGATCACGTTTTGGCGGCTGAATCCGCGCTCGCACTCCACGATACTTAGCGGAATTACTGCCAGCGCCTGCCACATGGACGTCAGGTTGGGAAAACTGCGCGGCCAATCCTTGGTCCTCAGCATTTTGTTAAGTCCCTGGTAGAAGTCATCGTCCTGGTAATGGCGAGACATGACGTGGCAGAAGCTGGCCAGCTCGAGCTCTGCCGCTCGGTGGTTGAAGCCTGCCACGTGTGTTGGAGGGACATTATTTTGTGAGGTGAAAGATCGAAACAAAACAAAACAAAACAAAACAAAAAACGTGTGGATAATTACCTGGCAGCCGGTTGTTGAAGAGCCGCGCGTTGGCATCCAGCCAACTCAGCACCCGACGATCCCGCTTGTCTGTCGCTTCTGGCCACGTTTCAACTTTGTAAAGCTTGCTGCCATCCATTTGCTTCAAGCTCCACATTCGAGTGTGCATGTTTGTCGCCACCTCCAATGCGAACGCTTTGCACAACTTGATGCAGTCGGCCATCGAGCCGCCGTATTGGTGTCCTGCTATTGGTGCCTCGCTCAGCACGATCTGATGTGAAGATGGCTCACCATCCGCATCCGTGCCGTCCACGCGGATAGTTCGCCTGCCGCTGCCAAGGCGTGCGATGAATGGCGACAGCAGCTTGCTGACCCCCCCTCCGAAAATGTCCACGTATTCCACGTATCGAAGTCTGATGACTCCAATCGTGCGATCCACCTCTTGGTGCACGAGCGTGATGTCAACCTGAACCAGAGACGGGCACATGAACAACATGTAAAAATGTTAGTGTATAATTAAATGACACGACTAGAAGAAAAACATGCACAGTGAATGAACACTTACTTTTTTGCGCTGGAAAAATTTGTTGAGTGCGTTTATCTCTGCCAGCAGATCCGCCAAGAAGTAGACGCAGAAGTGAAACTTGAGGGTCTGCACAGTTACCGCCATGCTGTGGTTGTACTCGATGAACACCACGATCGCCGCCCCTAGAATTCTGCACAGACGGACCACTGCATCCCCGCGCGATAGCCAACGCACGTCGAATAGCCCTTGGTGCTCCAAATTCGTTTGATGTATTTCGAGCTGGAGCTCCTTGAAGCGCTCAAGCCACACCGAAGACCGCATGACGACTTCGCCAAGCCCACGGATGGCGTCATCGACGATGTCAAGGTCCGGAAACTTGCTCGCGGCTTCTTTAACCGCGAGCACTTCTCTGCATACAACATTAGAAAAATTTAAGGCCGTGGAAGTTACTCATTTATACGAGGCGATTGTACGGAAACAACAAACCTACCTGTGCGCTATGCAATGAGTTCCGACTAGATGTGGGACGCGCTGACGGAGACGAACAACAAGCCCGGATTGGCTGCCAATCATCACCCCCGCGCCGTCGGTGCTAACTGCGACAATCCGTTGCAGATCAATCCTGATGTTGTCGAGGTGGCTCAGCAAAACCGCGAAGAGGGAACCCGCGTCGCATTTGTGTATGGTGAGTAGAGCGAGAAATTCCGTCACCACTGCTCGCTCCTTCATGAAGGTTGCAAACACCACGAGGTGTTTGCCGCGCGACCGGTCTGTGCTCTCGTCGCAGCTGATGCCGATCCACGGTGATGCATGGATGTACATAAGCTGTTGCTGTTGCTGATACGTGCACATAGCCTTCACCATCTCCGTGAAGCCGTATCTGCATGGTGCGCAAAAGGGATGGTGTTAATCCTTCCGGAAGCTATACACCAATACGGCAACAAATTATTAAATTCCACTCACTGCGTAATATATACACCGTAGGTCTGCTGAGGAATGTGTGAAACACCTTCATTCGCGAGGAAGTCGACGAGCCTCGGGAACATTGCGATCGGAGCGTCCTCGTCGCACACAAACTGGATGCTGCGCATAAGTCTCGTCACTCGCGCACCCTCGGGGTCAGCCCTCTCGTAGTCGTTGATTTTCTTCTGCGCCGCCATCTTGTCCAGAAGACCCTTCTGGCGATCAATGCACTCGTGATGGCGGGAGCTCGCTTGGTGTGCCCGCATCGACGCTGGCTGCAGGTCCCGTCCGCCGCTGCCATTTCGCCCGTATCGTGCATTGTCGGGACCGTGTTCGCTGCACACACTGCACCGCAAACAAGGCAGACCATCATCACCCTTGTCAAGCAACAACCAATCAAATTGCGGCAGCCATTTGGTGATGTAATTCCTCTGTGCTTCGAGGAACTTTGCTTCCGCGCGTTCGGTCGGAGTCTGCTTCAGCGGTGACGGAGATGGCGTCACAACCGGAGGTGGCGGAGGAGCAGGTTTCACGAGAGGCGAGCCGCCGCCGTAACCAAGAGTAGACTGCGTGTACCGGCGTTTTTTCAGCGACACGGAGTTAGAAGACTCCGGGACTTCAGATATCATTTCCGTCGAGGCGATGAAGTCGTGCACGACGGGTTCCGCCTCATCGCGTTCCGGACGCTGCCATCCACCGTCCTCACCCTCAGCTTGAGGCTGGTACGGTGGTGATATTTGGGCCGCTTTGCGCACAGGGTACATCCATCCCTCACTTTCATCAGAACGCTCGGGCAAAGGACGAGGTGCAGGTTCTGAGACTGGGCCTCGTAAGAAATCAAGGCCCGTTCTTGGACCGTGGCTACAACGGGGGTCGCCATCGGCATCGTCAGCGTCATCGTCGCTCGGCGCTGCCATGGCAACGGGGTGGAGAACGTGTGGATGCTAGACAGAGTGGCAAAAAAAAAACCGTGGTTTGTGGAGTTGGCTGGAGGAATGGCCGAGTGTTGCGAAACTGCTTGACCCACTCTGCTGAGCTTGCTGAACCAACACGGCACAGCACTAGGTCGCTTCGTTGGGTGACGCGGCTTGCATCTGTGCCACCGACAGTATGAATGTGGTCAGGGATTTGACTAAGTGCAGGCAACATCTCGAAACATAACAAACTGACCAATTACACAGATGACTGCTGCCAACGCATATTCCGCGGGGAAGGCCGCTTCGGTACTTGCGTGATTGACGGAAATCACGCTAGTGCAAAATTTCGGGAATGAAAAGGGGGGGGGGGGGGGGGGGGGGTGGGTGCCCTGTACGCCCTTAAGGGTAATCTTCGTTTTCAAAAAATTTACCCCACACCATCAGTGTGGCCTAAATCGTTTCACTGTCAAATCAGTGTAACACTAAGTTTCAAAAAAATTACCCAAACACATCAGTGTAGGCCCTAAAATTCACCCTTCTCATCAGTATAGCAGTGTGATTTACACTGATAAAATAGGCCCTGCTTGGAATACTACATGCTGCCCTATGTGGACAGGTACACCATTACCCATGAGGTGGCCTGCTTAGTCGCGATTTACCGTATCACCCCGGATAGTAGCGCATATGCGCTTATAATAAAATTTAAAAAGTTAGGGGGGGCGCTTGTAATTGAGTCTAGGGCATAAGCGCATGCTCTTATATAATGACAGTCACAAAAATGCATTTTTAGAGCACCAAATAGTACATTTCATTCTTGCCATTTCAACCGAGTCGAATATTTTTCGAGTCACCAAGCAGAATCGCGCGGAAGCGATTCTCTGCCAACACATAGTGTGAAAGAGACGTTCCGGGAGCTCATCCTGACTGGACGCGAAGCCAGTCAGGTCTTCGCGAGTCAAACAAAGCGAGAATGAAATCGAACTCGCTGCAAAAATGAAACTCGATACCGTTCTTAACAGATTTTCGAATTAATATTGTATGCGCGCTTATAATGAGTAAAGTTTTTTCAGGGGGGGGCGCTTATAATTGAGGACCGGCCATAAGCGCATGGCCCCAGATAGAAGCGCCGACGCTTTTAATAGGACGGCGCTACTATCCGGGGTGATACGGTAGTACCTGGCCAGTGGAATGTTTTACGTAAACTTGTCCCGTTTCTTCGGCCTGTCCAAGACCCTTTGTCATGCGCTTGTTGACGCGTGGCCGGTGCATTTCCTGTCCGTCTCAAGCAGCAGTTGGTCCACTTTCCTACCCGCAAGGATCTTGACGAGATGGCCGAGGAGTTCAGAGCCATCAAGGGTGTACCTGCTGTAGTGGGGGCTATAGACAGGACACACATTCACATGACGGGCATGGAGGGGCACAGGCAAGAGTACTACGTGAGAAAATCTTGTTACGCCGTGCAACTGCAGCTGACATGCGATGCGCGGCGCATCATATAGGACTACCTCATCAGCTACCCAGGCAGTGCTCACGATCAGATAGTATTCATGAACAGCACGTTACACGAAATGTTGAACAACGACGACATAGCGCCATAACAAATAGTGGGAGATGCGATATACCCATTCAGAGATTTCTGCCTGACCTTCCTACATGCACCCCGGAAGGGTCTAATGGAAGATTGGGAGCAGTGCTTCAACTACTGCCAAAGCGCTACGTGCATGGCTGTTGAGTGCTGCATCGGCGCTTTCAAAGGCCAGTATCGTCTACTCGTGGGCCACAATGACTGCAAGCTCTGGCGCGTTCTTGCAGGGGCGTCTTGTGGCGTCATCCTGCATAACATGTGTGAAACAATGGGTGCAGTGAGGCGCGTCAACGCTTCGTGGGCCAACTTGCCACGAAACCGCGACCCATGGTGGACATATGGAGCGGTAGCAAAGTTCAAGTGAGAGCCTTGTGACCCGTGCACACAGACTACTTTGCGGGAAAGGTGCAAGCAGCTCGACGAGGCACTGGAGTCGTCGTACCTTACTCGTCGTCGCCGCGAATCTACACCTCCTCGGCCGCATTCGGGTTAGAGGCGCTATCACCAGCCTGCCTGCGATGGAACCATTCGTCGTCGCCGCCTTTGGCAGCGTTCGTTGCAGGCTGGTTGTCCGCGTCATCGAGGATGTCGTTGCGGGCCGGCGGAGTAGAGGCGCGCTGCACCTGGTGTTCGCGCGCAATACGCTCGTCCTGCTCCATCCATGCGCGGACGAGGCCTTCGAGCCTATTTGATTGACAGCCTTTAATGGTCTCGCAGACAAACTTGGCGGCCATGGTAGCCGTCTCTGCAACCTGCAGGCGCTTCGATGTTGGAGTGCCCTACGGAGGAAGAGCAAAACACGCACAGTCGGGACGCATTATTTTGATTGAGATGTATCTTGTATTACGAGCATTCATTTAATACGGCGAGTTTACATTCACATCCCAGATCCAACAATAAAAAATGGTCAATGAACTTACTAGTAAAAATCAGCGTAGAGGTGCATGGCGCGGACGTTGACGGAACCGTGAACCCGCAAGGCACATTGATGTGTGTTGCACCACCGCCGTCGATAGCGTGAGGGTGGGCCACGGCCCAGTTGTTCTGGAAGAGCTCCATGTATGGGAACCACTGCGGCTATCACACCACTCCTTTACTCGATGCCTTCTCCCTCTTTTTCAGTTCCTTGTACATGGTGACGAGATTGCACCACTGCTTCTGCACAGCGTTCACGCCACGCACCCACCTGGGATTCTCCTTCTCGATGTGGCGGACATGGCGAGCCCAGTACTGGGAGACTTGCTTGCCAAGGAGGGGCTCGAGCTCGTCCTTCATGAACCAACGCGCTGCGACGAAAATCGTGTTCTCGCATGGTGACTAGACGCCGCGCTTAATCGGGTGCATGTTGAGCGTATTGGCCGCGCCTCGAGGAGGTTCACCGCCCTTAGCGGCGGTCTTGACTGCGGCTGCGGTCGTGGTACGGCCGCAGCGAGACTTGGGTTCTGCGGGCTGCGCCTCCTCAGGGGCGTCATCTTCGTCGCCATTGGCATCGTCGGCGTCGATCTCTTCCTCAGAGTCGGACATACCCTTGTCCTCTTCCTTTCCAGAGTCCGCCTCGTCTTTGGTGCCGTTGTCGCACTCGTTGTACTCCAAGTCATCGTCCTCGTTACCGAACGCGTCATCGTCCATGACGCGAGAGGAGGCAACCCGGTCAGTCACACGACGTCCGCGAGAAGGGACATCACGCAAGGCTTGGTAAGAAGTCTTCCCCGCCTCACGCGTTCCTTCGGGCAACGGGCCGGCGGGCTTGCGTTCGGCTGCGAGCTGCTTGTTTATCCAAGCAATATACGTGATCTCGTTGAGATCCCGCACGCACATGTCAGCAGTAGTAGCTTCGCTCTTGCGCTTACTGGCCATAGCTACGTAGTGGGATAGATATTTGGAAGAGGAAAACAACAAAAGAGAGTTGGGGTTGGGTGAGGAGATGTAAAGGAAGTTGGGGAGGGAGAGATGTCACCAGGTTTGGAAAGGTGTGCATGACCGGGCAGGCAAGTGCGAAGGTATTCAGTGAGCACCACTCGTTGGTCTGCCCGGCCAGGGAGGTTTCGTTTCCCGCTCAAATCTGCCACCACTTTAGGCGTTCAGGTGCATGCGGTCGGGCCGGTCCACAGCTTGACAAATTCGACACGCGTGCGATTTCTGGGACGTGTCGGGGCCTCATTTAACTCGTCTGCTACACCAGCACAATTCACGCCAACCAATGTAAAATACAGTGAAAGTTGCATTAGTGCGATCCACGTTTGTGGCACAATATAGTTTATGCAGATTTTGTGAGAATAAGAACGAGGAATGAGTGCATTGAGCAGCATAAGGAGTACAAGTAGTAAACCCTAACACTACTGTACCCCATAAGGAGTGCCCCACTACATCCTACAATATAGTTCTGACACACCCCCATAGGCAAAGTGGCAGACAAGCAAGAGAACAAGGCAAGGTCAAGCTCATGGTGGATCACAACGTCACCACACATTCTGAGCACAAGTTCAAGGCCACAAGGCCAGTTCACATGCAAGATTATAAATCAAGGTGACCAAGCAAGACACTAACCTCAACCTAACAAGGATAAGCATGCAAGTGCAGGAATATATAGATCACAGTACAAGCAAGAGGTAAGCAAGTGAGGCCCGGTAGGCACAAGACCTAGCATAGTACAGAAACGCGGATGATCACAAGGCTGAAGTGCCTTGGTAAAGATATCCGCAGTGTTGGCCCAAGAGGCCACGTAAGCAAGACGAAGCTAACCACGCTGCTGCAACTCTCGAGCAAGGAAGTAGCGCAGAGCAATGTGCTTCGTTCTGTGCTCCAGTCTGTGCTCCTAACACAAGGCTAGCATGGCCTTGTTGTCGACGCATAGAACCGGAGGAGAACGAGGCGCCTCTCCCAAGTCGGTCAGCAGGTAGGTGAGCCAGCGTATCTCCAGTACAGCCATGGCCCCAGTGTAGATCTCAGCCTCACAACTGGAGCTGAGAACAGAAGACGAGCGGGTAGACCACCACGAAACAGAGCCGGAACCAAGGCTGAAAGTGTAACCCTGTGACAACCGTTGTGTAGCCAAGTCATCAACCCAAGAAGCGTCTACGTGACCAGTGAAGACAACTCGAGCCCGTCCTTCAAGGACGAGCCCCATGCCCGACGTACTGCACAGGTAGCGCAACACCGTCTTAGCTGCAGCCATGTGCTCTGGTCGGTGTCTCCTAGGAGCAACATAGCGAGCCAAGATGCTAAGAGGGTATGCCAAGTCAAGTCGAGTGCAGGTCATCAGGTACATGACGCAACCAACAAGCTCTGGGTACGGGCCACTCGGCTCTACGGACTCATCCGAAGGCAGAGCTGAGAGCGAGTGGCGAGTAGACAGAGGAGTGGCCTGAGGCGAGGAGTACGTGAAGTTGAAGCGCTGAAGGACTTGCTGCACCATGTGTGACTGAGTCAAGGTAATGGTGCGCTGTGATCTGTCCCGGGTGATCTGCGCAGCTTGCCCAGGTCTGTGCACGTGTGTCTCTTCTGCAGCTCCGACTTCACGTGGGCCAGTCCAGCAGTGTCGGCAGTAGCAAAAACCAAGTCATCAACGCATACGACGATGTAGAATGGCGGCAGAGTAGTGTCGGTGCGCAGAAACAGCGACGAGTCAGCAGAAGAAGGAGCAAACCCAAGAGCCGCAAGCGTAGTCCTCAGTGTGTCGTGCCACTCGTGGGGCGCCTGGCGGAGACCGTAGACTGGCCGACGGAGGCCCCACTAGGTACCAGAAGGAAACGACCCAGTGAAGCCAGGTGGGCGGCGCAGCCAGATCTCCTCGTGCAGGCTGCCCTGTAGGAAAGCAATGCTGAAGTCAAGAGCGTGAAGCTCATAGTCACGCTAAGCAGCGACGTGCAGCAGAACCCGAAGAGTGGTAATCTTCGGGGTCGGGGAGAAGGTCTGGAAGAAGTCAACTCCCTGTCGCTGACTGAAGCCTCGAGCAACGTAACGCGCCTTGAAGACAGGCGGAGAACCCGGGGGCCGCTTCACCCTTAAAATCCACATGCCACTGACGATGTTCGCCCTAGGAGGGGGAACCTCGTCGACGTACGTGCCTGTGGACTTCCAGGATGCCATCTCTGCGTTCATGGCTGACCGCCACTGAGAGGAGTAGGGACCCTCTATCGCCTCTGCGTAAGAGCGCGGGGTCGGGATGTCTGGTGCATCCGGGTCTCCCTCAGGTGCAATCATCCTGGACACGAGATGGGGTACAGCGGCTGCAAAGCAGTCAAAGTCCTCCTGCTTGTCCTCAAGGACGTTCGTGCCAAGAGCACACTCACCCCCGACGGACGGAGGACAGACAGACTCAGACTCAGCAACAAGACTAGAGGTGTAGTCTAGACGACAGTGAGCAGCAAAGTCGATAAGCTCAGCAACTAAGGCAGATGCAGCACTGGACTCAAAGGAAGGGTCGGTGACAACAGTGGCCAGGGGACGCATGACAGTAGGACTAGCAGCACGAAGGGAGTCAGAATCCGGGTCAAAAAGGGCAGGAAGAGAGGACGCATGAGGAGACGGCAGAGGGACACGCTGCGGAGCAGTGGAGGGGCGCAGAGCCATCCGGTGCGTGCCAGGGACAGGAAGAGGACGCTGAGACGAACCACGATGACTAGTGCTAGCAGCACAAACAGGCGACGCAGGACGAGACGCAGGCTCATGACGCTCAGCAAGACCTCCAGTTGGACCAGTGTAAGGAGAAGGAGCAGGCAGTGGGGAGGCGGGTTGCAACTGTGACTGCGACTGGACAGGCGGTGGACACGCCAAGGAAGGAGCAGGACCAGTAGAAGGCGGAAGACCAAGAACCTGCTGAAGGAGCGGAACGTAGTCGGCCGCGGCCGCGCAGCGCCTCCAGAACCAGCGGGGACAGCACCAGCACCCCTTGCGGGAGCTCCAACTCCAGCACCACCACCAGCTCCAGCAGCACCTCCAGCTACTCCAGTAGCGCCAACTCCAGCACCCACACGAGCACTGGCTCCAGCAGCACCTCTAGCTCTAGCACCCCCAGTAGATCCAGCTCCAACAGGACCACCAGAAGACCCAGCAGCTCTAGATGCTCCAGCTCCAGTACCTCCAGCAGCACCTGCTCCAGCAGCACCGCCAGCTCCAGCACCACTAGCAGCTCCAGCTCCAGCAGCACCACCAGGCCCAGCATTTCCAGTACCTCTAGTACGAGCACCTCCGGGACCCGTGGCTCCAGAATTCCCAGCAGCTCTAGCAGCAGCAGGACCTCTAGCAGCAGCAGGACCTCCAGTGCCCGTAGCACCACCAGCTCCAGCAGCACGGCTCCAACGCCGAGCAAACCACTCGCACAGCTGCTGTGGAGAGAGAGGCTTCCGACGGGACGAAGCACCCGAAGGACCGCCAGGCACAGCACCCCCAGTCTCAGCACCCCCAGGCTCAGCAACCCTAGGCTCAGAACCCGCAGCCTCCGCACCCCCAGGCTCAGCACCCCTAGACCCGACACCCGCAGGCTCAGCACCCCTAGCAGCACCAAAGTCAACAGCTACCTTGACAGGCTCGACTGCGTCTACCTGGGACACACCTGAGGGGGCAGGACCGTGAGGGGAGAGGGGGTCTACCGGGGGGGGACCTGGCGCAAGGAAGAGCGGCGGTGGGGGGAGGGGGGCAGTGCGGTAGGGGAAGAGACAGTAGTAAGGAACCGACTCGTCAAACGTGACGTCCTGAGAGGACAGAACACGGCGCGAGGTTGTTGGTGTAAGGGCCTAATAAACTCAAGCTATTAAGACTTTATCAAACTTAAAACCTCTCTTCGGGGTCACCTCCAAGGGTCCTTGGGTGCCTAGTACAAGACCAGCCCCTATCCTCGGGTCCGAGTTTGTAGAGAGAGGGATCAAGAGGGACTTAGTCAAAACAGCAAGAGTACCTTGAACGTCGCGCAACGTATCCTGCAGACCGTTGATCGGATTAAGCTGAGAATTTACTGTATCGAAGCTCGCTCCAAGAGCTTTAAAATGAACCAAGTTGCCTCGCGAAAATTTCTGCCATTACGAAGTTATGGCTCGGACAGCGTTTGCCTAGCGTTGGACTGCAAGCGTACTAGCGTTGACTCGAGTAGCATTCCGCCGTCGCACTGCGTAGAAACGAAATTCCTGCAAGGAAGGAATTCACTTGAATCAATTTCACTATATTCAGGTACAATCAGAGAAGGAATAAATAGCTCTAGCTAGCAAGGACCTTGGGAATCAACCTGGGAACAACCAAGGATGATCCCAAATGATTCCAACCAACAGAACCAACCTAGCTGGACAAAACAGTAGGTGGTAGGTTGGTAAACAACCTCTGATTCTGTTTTTCCAACCTGGGAAAACAACAACCAGGTTCAGGTTCTAAAAACAGAACCTGTTTTGTCTTTGCCCAACCAGCCAAATGCTGGCTAGGCTGGTTTTCCCTGGCCCTGTAGCATGCAGATACAGACAAACAACATCCAACCTTCACCTAAATTGTACCCCTATAGTGCCTGCCCTACTACACTATAGTTAACCAAACAGAACAGTACAATTACAAGTTGGATAGAACTGAATCTGCGCAATCAATTCGACCGAACTGCAAAGCTTCCATCTTGGGGTTCCTTTGCGAGTTTGTCCTTTCTGCTTCCAATGTTCATAGCGTGTACAATGTTGTGCCGAAGCGCACATTGTGCGAGTACGTGCAAATGCTTCAAGCAAAAATTGCGAAAGCAAACAAACACACGAACATACCATTTACACGCAAATGCATTCGCACACGCATACTCGTACAAACAGACGGCAGGATGTCGTGCAATGTGAATTTGCACCCAACACACTCCCCCTCAGACTGCCGGCTGCATTTCCATCATTCCATAC